ACATTTTCCTTAGATGCAACAAAAATAATAATTTTAGACATGGCATCTATCGAGCTTGACAGAGTGAATAGATGCTGCTATGCTAAAAGGGGATGACATGCAAATTCATACTTATGTCTAAACTTTGAACCTTGCTTCACATCCTTTTATTTGAGCTGCTTGCTGCAACCTGACTTTACATCAACCTAGGTAGAGGATGTGTGAGTTACCCCTCCTGGCACATGACCGCCACCACCCCAGACATGGAGCGGTCGTTCTGCTAACATCCGGTCACGGGTTCGCCAACGAGGTTGACTGTGTCGCCTGCTACTCGGACAATGTATGACATCCACGTGTCCCATCTCCCCTAGGTCACAACATAGAGGGAGAGGTAGATGAGAAGGATGGGGAGCAAAAAGGAGCCCTGGCGACGAAGAAGAAGCAAAAGAGGTGGAGAAGCTCGTCATACATGTATCGAGCTGGGCGACGACCATTGATTTCGCCCGCTCAAACCACCACTCGCTCATGGTGTGACTTCGTGGAAAAGCCTCACCGACTTCATCTCCGTCTTCTCTATTCTCCTTCATCTTGTTGCTCGCCTTTAAATGGCCTCTCTACGCAGACTCCACCTCCCTCCCACTGGTCAACGTTAGTTCTCGGCAACGAGCAACTCGGCCACGATCACATAGACTCATCCACCTCCTAGGTAGGTACCCCCACATGTGTTGAGGGGCCACCACTCAGACGACTGTTGGGAGGCAGTGGGGTACCTGAGCCCACGGCGAATATTAGGAGCAGCTCAATGCGGAGAGGGTAAAGCAAAAGAATCTTCGGCAAGTTGGAGGAGAGGAAGAGGCAGCAGGGAGATGGACGAGACCACTAACCCCACACCCGCATATGCATTCGTACATGTGTCGTTGCCAACGAATGGGGTTGGGAATGACAACGTGGCGACCCTCCTTCCACTGAGATTTGTGCCTCAATCGAACGGCTGGCGCAGCGTTCGCACGGAATTGCTATAGAAATAATGTTAGTTTTATAACATTTAGGGGTTTTGGTGGTGTGGGGGCAATTTAAAAAAAATCTCTGCATATTATTTAGGCATCCTATTACAAAAGTATAATAGAACTAAATATATTTGTTCAAACAATTAAACATATTTGTTCATAAGCTTCAAATAATTGAATGAAAACGCATCAAGGCAACAATCATGTTAAGTACTTCTGAGTACTCCAGTTCACAAACATTTGGTTGTATATTCATATAGATAAAAAGGGCTGCGGGGGTATTGCAATAGGTATTTTGTTGGCTTTGCGATAAAAATGGGCGCTGATAGCGATACATATCCAGCAATCGCCTAGCCCCAGCAGGTATGCGATAAAAATGGCTTATAGCGATACGTATGCTGGGCCGGCCCATTAAGGCACCTCGCTCGCTGTTGCGATTGCTCACCTGCTCATTAATTTTTTTTTCTTAAAAATATTGTTTGGATTTTTTCCTTCTGTTTTTTCATGAATTTGAAAAGAGATTCTGAATTCAAAGAAGTTTACGAATTTAAAGAAGGCGAGGAATTTAGAAATGTCCATGAATTAAAAAAAAGTTGACGCATTCAAAAATACTCATAGATTTCAAATATTTTTTGTGAATTAAAAAACAAGAATTAAAAAAACAGTAAATTTCAAAAATTGTTGGAAAATTTGAATTGTTCATGAATTTCAAAAATTGTACTCCCTCCGTTCACTTTTATAAGGCCTTAAAGACATTTCAGACAATGTGCAAAATAGCCTATTTTCAGTTGTCTGAAATGACTTATAAAAGTGAACGGAGGGAGCACATGACTTAAAAATTTGTTCATGAATTCAAGAAATGTTCATGAATTCCAAAAAAAATTATGAATTAAAAAAACTTTGCCCTAATTAAAAAAAATTCGTGAGCTAAAAACTGTATGAATTCAAAAACTATTTGCGAATAAAAATCAGTAATTGAAAAGAAGAAGAATTTTGGGTCACTGGAACCTGATGATAATTACTCACTCCTTCATCCTGAGCGAGCGCTTCAAAACGAGGCTATTATGCTGAAACTAGGGCTCCCTCTGGACGGGTAGAGCGAGAGGGATAGGAAATTCATTTCGTACAATTGAACCTTTTCAAACTGTTTCTTTTTGAGAACCAAAAAAACTTGTGCCAAGCACGCTATATAGTGAAGCAAAGCTATCTATAAATCGAGCATATCTTTTATCCGGAAGGTAGTGGGCTTTCACCCGTACTCGCCCTTTCATGAATTAAGAAATAGGAAAAACATGAATAAAGAAAATGAAAACCCCGAAAGACACAAAAAACAACCATAAAACCAGAAAACCAATAGAGAAATGAGAAAAAAGAAAAAAGAAAAAAAAGGTTGGAAGCTTCCCAAAATTAACGGAAACCGTCACGCCTCGTCGCTTACCTGGGCCTCGGCCCAGATCGGACCTCGTGTAGGCGATGGCACTCCTATGTGGGCATCCAACTGTCTGAGAGTTGTTAATGAATTGCGTTCACCGGTCCAGGTGGGATACTATTGATGATTTTGAAGGAGATCAAGGAGAAGGCCGTGAGCTTTAAAGCCTACAAATTCAGTCATGAACGACATAAGCACAGTAGGGAACCCCATAGATTAGCTAAAATGATGACTTCTTTTAATGTGGGTTGGCCTTTATGGTTTATTGATCCTCCGGATCACTTGTGTATTCCCCTAAACATTAAACCTTAAACAAAGTCGTGTTGTTTAATCAAACAAACAAAAACAAGCATTCACACTTCTTTAATAGTGCAACTAGAAGTTCCACTAAGAACTTTTTTCTGTTAGAGAAATTGTCGAGTCGACTTCAAATTGCTTATGCCTACAAGAGATGGTAACTTGGGCCTAGAAAAGAATCATCTCATCTACTTGGTTGTGTAGTTTTATAGAAGAGTATACGTTCTCCAAGGCAAGCCAACAATTTGAAGCTAACATACTAGAACATTCCCATTTCACAGGAGCTCGCCATGTCTATACTTTACGAAGGACGAAAATAAATAAGTGAATATCGCAAAGTTTATACCAAGGTTCACTTGTGTGTAAATAAACAATGATTTGCAAAATGCAAGAAAATGCAGCCACAACTCCAACACCATCAAGAGATAGTTTTCGAATCATCTAAATTCTCAAACATGAGTAGTTTGCTCCATTGATGAACTAAAAGAATTATGAATAACAAATACCATTCCAAGTTAACAGAAACTATATCTTGACTTCTCGTTGAGAACCAAGTTATACAAGTAGTCGGTGGAGGAGGTCGCACCGTGGGCTATCATGAATCATAACAATATGTTTGCCTCTCAATGTAGTAGGGTACTTGATGGGGTCATTTTTTCCTAGTGGCATGTAACGTGTCTATGTTGACATCGTCAATCTTCAAGCGCCATGAGTCACAAGTTCGATCTTATGTAGACGTTCACACTTCATAGAAATAGAGAGACAATGAGGTTACGAGTTTGATATAAAAGGTTGTATTATTGTAGTGAGGTATTTTACAAGGTGTATGAATATGACATCACTAGTGTTTGGTCGGACTTTGCATATCATGGGCATCTGTATAATGAAGGGAGGCACCATGTCGTAACAAGATCATGAAGGGTTTTTAGATGGGGAAGGAGGGGGCATGGAGGGGGCGTGGTACCAGTTTCACCATGAACTAGAAGGTAACTCGAGGGAGAAGTCATGTATGATCGGCTCCAATGGTGGCCTTACTGACGATCGCCGTAGGCAACGATGATTTCTCGATGTTGAATATGTTAGGGGTAAAGTGTTCCACGAAAGGTTTCATGGAAAATTAGACTTCGGCTAAACCTATTAAACAAACATTTGTAACTTCTTTTATTTAAAATATATATTTTTCGGTAGATCCTATGTTGCGAGAACTTGGTATGCAACTTGCTTTCAGGATATCTATAGTCATGAAAGTGAGCCATGTAGGCTAATTCTTTTGTTTTTTGAGAAGTGGCAAGATTTGCAATATTCATTCAATAAGAGAGTTTTACAATCCAGACTCCCAAATGTGTGACAACAGATATCAAAGCCTACTCTCCCAACATGAGATTGCCCAAATCTTTTGCCTTTGCCAATTTCCAGTTTATGGCTTCATTGCGCATACAAGAAACAATTATGCGGGACGGCGAAGCTTTATTGTGGAAGACACGAGGGTTGTGCTCGTTCCAGATTGCCCAGTGATGATGCATCACGTGCCCCAGAGGCTAATTCTGTAAAAGCGCAAATGTGGTGATCTATCGCGTATCTAATAAGTGTGAGTGCCGGTATCTCATGTTTTTTTTTTGAGAACATTTTGAGAAGGAAGCGTTTCTTGTTCAGTTATTCTTGCTCATGAATGCCGGTCGTTTGACGAATTAGCCGTACTAATTGGCCCCAAGATGAAAGAGGCCGAAGATGTCGTGGGACCTGAAAATCAGGGCGGCTAGCAACCCCTGAAAAGATCTAAAAAGAAGCAACCACTCAAAAAAAAAAACCATAACCGCCACATCAATAGGCAGTTACAGAAACTGACGAGGGATCTACGGAAAGGTAGAACTACCACGGTCGCGGATACGTTTTTCTTCGTTTCTTTCGTCCGCTGAAACGCAAACATGTTTCCTGGTGCGCATGACGCACTGTCGCCGTTTAACTTTTAGCATTTCGTTGCAATCGATCCCATTTTACCGGCAACATATATAATACAGTACAGCCATGAGATGGTAAATAGCATAGTATTTTCATTAGCCTGGTTTAGCCTTACAATGCCACCAACTGGAGCCATTACACTATATATAAGCCGAAAAAAAACATCACACACCGATTGATCCGGGAGATCTCTACTAAGATATGGGTAGCCATTAAGCATGCGCATGGCGCGCGCCAGATATAAGCACCAATTGACACAGCTAGCTCTAGCCCTTGTATTAATTCTGCAAATCACTCCACCCACCACCTGCCAAACCATCACGGCCGCTTCACCCCAGCGACGAGACCTGAATGTGGGACACCTTGGCGAACAGCCAGAGTACGCCGTACGTGACCGCCATGGCGACCCACCCGCCCAGGAGGACCCTGGACCCCGACCGTAACATGCTCGCGCCGCCCAGGTACCCGCCCGCCGCGCCGAAGCCGGCCAGGCCCACGGTGGTCGCCGCGCACACCGCCCCGACCCTGGCGCCATACGGCCTCACGAACCCGCCGGCCAGCAGCGGCAGGAGCGCGCCCACCGCGAACGCCAGCGCCGACGCGAGCGCGGCCAGCGTCGGGCTCGCCAGGCTCTCCTTCTTGCCCTTGGCGCCGTCGCGCTTGATCTGGGCCACCTCGATGTCGTACTGCGCGTACACGGACACGAACTCGCCGATGGCCATGCTGCAGGCGCCGGCCACCAGCCCGGCCAGGCCCGACACGAGCATCGTCTTGCCGCCGTCGTTGACGGCGCTGACGCCGATCATGAGGGACGCCACGGAGACGAGGCCGTCGTTGGCGCCGAGGACCGCCGCGCGGAGCCACTGCGCGCGGGCCATGTAGTTGACGCCGCCCTCGCCGTCGCCCGGGCGGTCGTCGGCCTCGACCGGCTTCGGATCGGCCGCCTCGGCGTCGACGGCGAGCACCACGACGACGTCCTCCTCCTTGGCCCTGCGCTCGCCGTCGGCGTGCACGTGGGAGGAGCCGACGTGATGGTCCATGGATCCAAGGCGGTCGGGCTGCTCAAGAAGAGGAAGCACGGCCCGATCGATCGGGACGGGAAATGGCCTGCGGGAAGCAGAATGTGGCTGGCTGCGGTACCTGAGCAGTGTGCCGGCCACACGCCTCGGCGGGGGTATTTATAGTGGAAGCCGCTAGGGTTTGACGAATGGAGGGCTCCGATCGCACTTGCGTGCGGCGGCCACACGCCCCTCCGCTGGGACGCAGCTCCTCTGACGTGTGGACCTGGACCCACGCGTCAGTGGCCCAACGTCAGGTGGTCGTACGTCAGGGGATCCGGCTCCCCTCCGCTGACGTGTACAGTAGATTTCTGCAGATGTTCACACGCGTATCTCTCGCTCGCTGATCTCTGGTTCAGTGCGTGCCTTCATTTTTAGCAACAAGTAAATGCGCCATCAATACACGCGTCCAAATATACTACTAGTCCACCGCCAAATTTATTTGCGAATCTACATTATTATAAATGGAGTTCTTTTACAAATAAATAAAAATAAATGATAGTTTTCACGTACGGTCATTAGTATGAAAATAGTTTGAAAACCGAGCGCCGAATCAATTTAGAAACCAAGGCATTAATCTATATTTACTATTAAAAAGGAGTTGGTACGTCGTTATTTTGCACACAACCATTAATGTGAAAATAATTTTAAAACTAAGGGCCGAATCAATTTGAAAATCAAGCCATTAATCTATACTACCTCCGTCCTGATTTATTGGTCCCCATTATATTTTGTGTCAAATTTTGACTATAAATTGAACTAACAAAATGTCCATGCATGTTACAAAAATTTATATCATTGCAAACTATGTTCAAATATGAATCCAACAATATGATTTTTGTTGACATGCATTAACATTTTGTTAGCTAAATCTTTGGTCAAAATTTGGCACAAACTATAAAAATGACTTATAAACCAGGACGAAGGTAGTACTATTAAACAGGATTTGATAGGTCCTCGTTTCGCACGCAACCATTAATGTGAATAATTTGCAAACTGAGCGCCGAATCAATTTGGAAATCAGCAAGGCATTAATCTATACTATTAAATAATAGACAAGAGTTGGTATCATTGTTTCACACACAACTATAAATGTAGAAATATTTTGCAACCGAGGGCTGGATAATTTGAAAATCAAGCTATTAATCTATATTATTAAACGGGAGTTCGTATGTCCTCGATTCGCATGCAACCATTAATGTGAAAATAATTTGAAAACCAAGCGCCGAATCAATTTAAAAATCAAGGCATTAATCTATACTATTAAATATTAAACAAGAGTTGGTTGTTTCACACACAACCATTAATGTAAAAATAATTTGAAAACCGAGGGCTGGATAATTTGAAAATCAAGCCATTAATACATATTAGTAAAACGGGAGTTCGTACATCCTCGTTCCGCACGCAACCATTAATGTGAAAATAATTTGAAAACCAAGTGCCGAATCAATTTGAAAATCAAGCCATTAATCTATACTATTAAATATTAAACGATAGTTGGTTGTTTCGCACACAACCATTAATGTAAAAATAATTTGAAGACCAAGGGCTGGATAATTTGAAAATCAAGCCATTAATCCATATTATTAAACGGGAGTCGTTACGTCCTCGTTTCGCACGCAACCGTTAATGTGAAAATAATTTGAAAACCAAGCACCATATCAATTTGAAAATCAAGGCATTAATCTATACTATTAAATATTAAACGAGAGTTGGTTGTTTCGCACACAACCATTAATGTAAAAATAATTTGAAAAACGAGGGCTGAATAATTTGAAAATCAAGCCATTAATTCATATTATTAAACGAGAGTTGGCACGTCCTTGTTTTGCACGCAACCATTAATGTGAAAATAATTTGAAAACTGGGCATCGAATCAATTTGAAAATCAAGATATTATTAGAATTAATTAGCCAGAAAGTTAATTTTGTGCAATTAATTTGGTATGTTTAAATGATATTTTTTTCACGCCGAATCGATTTGAAAGATAAGTCATTAGTGTATTTAATTAGGCAGCCGGTAATTGGACAGTAGATAGGTAAAAATTGGGAATTTTTTGCAATTAGTTAATTAGACAGACAGTTAACCGGACCGAATCAATTTGAAAGCATTGCGGGTAAGGATGGTCAACAGGCTCTTGTTGATGTTGATGATTGCCAACAGGCTCTCAGCGACATTGTCGACCAGCAGTTGCCAACAGGCATGGACAATGTCCTCCATGCGACCGCGACATGAGCAACCAATCGTTCACCACGATGGATGACGATCATTCTCTACAGGACATCCATACGTTGACAGTTGCCGTTCACGGACGAGTATAACAAATTCCATAGGACGAGGCCGATGGTCGCGCGCTCGAGGACGACCAAGCGGTGACAGTCGAGGGCTCCAACCGCGCCTTCGAGGACGACGGTGACGACCAAAGACAATCGGTCACACGCCATCTCTCTTCGTATATTGTTTCATCCCATAGCAACAAACGTGTGTTCAGCTAGTAATTAGTACTTCCTCTGTAAAGAAATATAAGACGTTTTAGATCACTACTTTAGTGATATAAAACATCTTATATTCATTTACAGAGGGAGTACTAGCAAAGGAAGGAAGTTTGAATCGCCGGCCGGGGAGACGGGGAAGGCATCATGATCTGAAGCCATTTAGGTGGGGGTGGGTAAGGGGACAAAAGGGAAATTCGATAGAGACCCTAAACCGTGGTGCGACCACTGGCATCACAGATGATTAGACGGGCGCGTGGTTACCACGGGTAGTGCGTGTTCTTTAGTGGAGTAAACCACGGGAAAAGGGGGCCGATCATCATCCAAGTGCGCGGCGAATTAAAGCGCACTAGAAATGGTGAAAGCGTTTGTCCACATACATGGATATGTACATGCGTGACGGACTCAACCTGCTCTAGATAAGTAGCTGCTTAATCTGGCGCCCTTAGTTTGCGGTGTCATTGATCGGCACACTCAAGCTGTTGCCAATACTAGTCCCGTAAGGTCGGCCGTGGAGCTCGTAAGCTTGTGTGACTCGATCGAGCAAGACGGACGTACGTCAGTGCAACAGTTCTGGTTAAAGGCGAATTCAGTTGAGCATGGAGCGCACACCACCACACCAAGTGGGGCACGTTTCGGTCTCGAGACGTCGTCACCACGATAAGATCGATCGACTCGGCCGGCAAGTTCCAGGGAAATTTGTCGCGTGGTCGATCCTCCGATTACTGCTGCTTATACGTAAGACGCATACGGTGGTGCGACGACGGTGCCGGTCCACGTACGGGGCCCTTCTGGGTTTGGCTTTGATGAGTCATCTCCCACTAATGAGATCGTGAGTGAACGCTCAAGAGAGAATGAGATCGTGAGTGAACGCTCAAGAGAGAATGCCCATTGCTAATCAGAGTAAGCGCCAGCTCAAAAGAGGATGGGAGTGCCCCATTGACGATCTCGCGGGTGCGGTGGGAGGAGACGCCGCGAGGGCGCTCATACGTAGTAGTGCATACTGTATAATGGTCTAGCAGAGCGGGAAGGCACGTCAGCGGACGGTGCGGTGACACTGACACTATGATTGATAGGTGCATACGAGCATATCAAACGACCAGCTCATGTATGCTGAGCGGTGAGCACGATCGTGGCGGATGAAAGTTGAGGATGGAAGCCGATGGAGAAGCTATTTGACGAATCACCGTCAGAGTAGCCTATGCACAACGGAAGAATTTCACGAGCAGAGAGGTTCTGGCCCTCTTTGATTCGCTGAATTGTAAACGCAGGAAGAAGAAAAATGATTAGAATGTCATGCACATTCGAATTCTTAAGATTTTTTTCATGAATATGCAATAGCATGCGTGTCATTCCATTGATAGAAAAAGTTAAAAGTTTTACAGAGTACAAGGGAATTGAGAAACCGTAGCTAGCTAGGAGCCTGCACAACAATTTGACTGTTTGAACTGTCGGATCATCAAATCTACGATTCAGATTAGGTCTGGTCGTCCTAGTTCGCTCGCGCGCCGCACGCAACATCTCACGGGCTGCTGCTCCACAGAACGAGTTGGTTTTCCTCTCCGTAACCAGGCCTTTCGAAGGCCCACGTCCTTTCATTTGGATGCTAACGCTAACAGCCTAGGTCGTGCACCTCCATCGCTATCCTCCCCAACCGAGCGAGCAGTTTCCCTCCTCGATGCGCCGTCGCTCTTTCCTCCTCGATGCGTCGCCGTTCCACCGTGTTCTTCTACGTGAACGCCTCCACGCCAGTTACGCACCCCCATGCACCCCCCTACTCTTCATCCGTAGCCCTTCTTTACTGGTTTTAATTTTGTGTCTTGCAGCGTTCGTCCATGGCAGCTGCGGCGGCTGCTGGCGCTGTCGGCGCCCTCTCTTCAAAGACATCGACACAAATGGGCAACGGCGGGATGTTTTCTCACCTTCCCGTGCATGGCAGTGTTGCTGTGATGGCAAGATGATACAGGCGATGAGGGATGTTGGTGACTGTGCTGCTCTTCTCCGTTCTCCGTTGAGATCTAGGTGAGCACTTATATCATATTCCAACTGCCCTAGATCTACATGACTACATGTACTGCATCTGCTTCACCCTTGATTCATTTTTTTGCAAGGAATAATGAGATGATCTTCCCTATCTTTTTGTTTAGGCTATCAACTGTGCTTGATTAATTAAGGTTTAGGTACCTAGAGTAATCACAATGCATGGATAAGTGACCATCCAATACTTCTGATCTGCTGCTTAGACGTCATCTTGTACTCATGATTTTGGAGTTACAACATATACACGATTGGTTGAAAATGTGAGACCAGCACACAAGTCGATGGAGAGAATATACATTTGTATCTTGGTATCCTAGTGGCGGGAAGATATATTTGTCTCAAGAAGTGACCAATTCTCAAGAAGTGACCAATTCATTATTTTTATGGGATTTTTTATTTCAAAAGTTATGATTGAAAAAAGAGTTACAACTCTGCATCTCATATTTTAAC